AGTCCATCTATTATACATAGCCCATGTATAATGTATGGCAATATGGGAAATATAAAAAAAAATATATTCACAAAAAATTCATAACTTTCACAAAAATAGAGATATCTTCACCAAATTTGAAAGAGGACCTCAACTTTCAACATAGTTGTCCAATAGCAGCAAACATTGAAATGACCTTGAACTGAAATTCAACATTTTTGAAAAACATTGACACTGGTAGTTCAGAACCCAACAATACAGTCCATGTCCATGTATTTTACATAGCCCATATATAACATATGGAAAGGTGGGAAAAATCAACAAACAAAAATCACGAAGAAAAAAAAAAAAAAAAAAAACTTTCAAAAAAAAAAAAAAAGAGATATCCCCACCAAATGAACAAACTTGAGAGAGAACCAGTCCAAGTGTCTACATTATGAATTTCAAAGCAATGTGGCAGGCGGTTTCAGAGAAGAAGTTGAAAATGCACAAAAAATGAACTAAAAATAGATACTTGCATATGGTGCCATGAAAATGATAAATCTGAGTGTAATACATGTCAACAACATTCATGCCAAGGTAATCTAGCTTTAGGTTTGGGAGAAGAACTCATTTGAATGAAACAAGCAGCCTCTCAGCTGAGATAGCTCCGCTGTTAGCAATGTACATTTCAATTAATGAACTGAAGATATTATTGGGAAATGTACAAATCTGAAAGAGGTCTACCTGAGGTACCTAAATGTATAGTACCCGAAAAAGCAATAAGACTTGCAGTTTTTAACAAGAAGTTGAAAATATCACTTTTTCCAAAAATGACATAAATATTCATCAAAATCAAAGAAAGCTTAGAAAGAACTCCATGTGCTGAGTGTATTGGAGACACATTAAAAATCAATTCAAAATTACTTGTACTTGAGATATTGATGGAAAAGCTGAAAACTAATTATGCAAATCAGGTAAGTAATATAAACAGATTTGAGTGTAAAACTAATAAGGTCTGCACAATGCAACAAACCATATATGAACCAAGTTTTATTGAAATGTGATGAGAACCAAACAATTATGAATTATTATGCTGATTAGGAAGTTAATATGAACAGATTTTAACCAAAAACAAATCAGGTTTGTACATTGTCCTCGAGCACCTATGTACAAAATTTCATTGAAATGGAATAAATAGTACTATAGATAAGTGTAAAAGCTTAAAATTGATTAATTATGCAAATTAGGTAATTAATTATCTAGTTCTGGAGCATCTATGTACCAATTAAGTTTCATTGAAATGAGATGATTATTACTTGAAAGTTGAAAACTGGTTAATTATGCAAATTAGGTGATTAATATGCACAAATATTTATTCAAAACTGATCAGGTCTCTGCATAGTCCTTGAGTACCAAGTTTCATATTTTAGAGGATCTATGTACCAAGAAGTTTCATTGAATGTAATGAGTACTTGAAATAGCTGAATTAATTATGCAAATTAGGTGATTAATATGCACATTTTTTATCCAAAACTATTCAAGTCTCTGCATAGTCCTTGAGTACCAAGTTTCATTGAAATGTAATGATTACTACTTGAAATAACAAAAGCTGAAAATTATTTAATTACACAAATTAGATAATTAATATGTACTGATATTAATCTAAAAACTATGAGGTATGTGCAGTGTACGATGACATCTATGTACCAAGTTTTATCAACGTGATGATTAGTACTTGAGATAGTTGAAAAGCCGAAAATTGACTAATTAGGTAATTAATATGCACAGATTTTTAACTAAAACTAATCAAATCTGTGCATTAATTCAGAGCATCTATGTATTAAGTTTCATCAAAATACAATGAGTGGCTCTTCAGATGGAACAGTCATTGAACAGCTAAAATGAGCTTATTATAATGCAAATTAGGTAATTAATATGCATAGATTTCTACCAAAACCTAATCAAATCTGCGCACTAGCTCAGAGCATCTATGCACCAAGTTTTACCAAAAACCGATGTATGGTTCTTGAGATACCAGACGAAGACACAAACACACACACACACACACACACACATACATGCAGGCTAACTGCAAAGACTCCCAATTGTACACATTCGCACATGGGAGTCAATTAGAGAATTGAAGATATTATCACAAAATGAACAAATCTGAGAGTGGTCCACCTGAGAAATCAGACTTGCAGTTTTTAACAAGTCGAAAATAAGACTTTTTACCAAAAATATCCATCAAAATTAGAGAATTGATGATCTCACGAAATAAACAAATCTGAGAGTGGTCTACATGTAGTATCTATGAATAACATAGTTGAACTCTGGTGACCTTGACCTTTGTTATATAATACAATTCCCTTTATCATAGTTTGTTTCATTATATAAATATGCATTGTCATAATTAATTTTTAATACAAGCAAGTTTTGGGGTTGAAACAACAGTGGGGAATCAGTCTACCGAATGTCCTTAAAAGATGTAAATATGTAAAAAACATTTGTGCCTAATTTGTTTAATTATTTTTAGGGACATAATTTCCAACTTTATTCAAAGTAATTCAGATATTTTAGTATAAAAACAAATGCCTCATCTCAGAAAAAAGTGCTGCATTTAGACGTGAATAGATTCATAAAACATGCAAGATAACAGAAAATCTTAGCTGGTTTTTGTCCAAGTAGTATTTTGTACAGGTGTCTGTCAAAAATTAATGATTCACTGAGACAAATATGAACTGCCTCATTGTGTGACTACTGTATTATATGAAAAGTAAAAAAAACTCTCTAATAGCTATCATGTTGCAAGCTCTGCTTTGTATGCAAATCAACTTAAATAGTTGATGTCCAGTGGAGGGAGAAGTCAACAGTACTGTTGCCTCCTTTGAAGTGTGTTTTTAAATTAGTATTATAAAAGCTATATCATATCTGTTCTAATAGCTGAAACATATTCCTGTGAATTTTTATTTGTCGAATGAACTGTTTGTCAAATACAGAATACATATATTTTAGTACAATTTTCTTTTCAAAATGTAGATGCAACGTTTTGCTTTTTATGTACTTTTTATGTATTGTTTTTGTTTTTATAACTTTGAACTAAACAGATTTTCTATTAGCTTCAGATTTTGATCAAAGTTTGGCACCCAGTTCATAGGAGTGCTTATACTGATTTTCTGACATCTTGTTTTCTGTAAAGATTTTATTGGTAGGTTTGCAAATGTGTATCAGACTGTGCAAAAAATCTCTCCATGAGTTGGTTTTGAAACCCAGTATAGTATTCCCATGGGATTTGGGGGATACATTACCAAGGATATTATTACAAGATAAATGATTTGCTTCATTGAACACGTACAACAATGCATATTTCCACTGAGATCAGTGACTGTTGATGTGTATCACCATCAGTCAAGTAGAAACAGTCAAAATATTTTATCAGATTTTCTCAATTTTTGCATGATATTTTAATACAGGACATCTGTTGTTCAAACTCATACTGATTTATACTGATGAATAAGGTGACCAAGTTTGATGTAGTGTTTAGAATAGAATTAGTAAAGTTATTATGCACACAATAACAATTAT